TTTTATATCTCAATTCATGTTATCTTAATTCACGAGTCATTCACCGTTTCATATTATTTCATGTGTCCTTCACCAATTCGTCCAAATAACCAAACTGAGGGTACAACTCGGTGGATTTCTAACCAACACAACCATTATACAAACAGTTTTATTTTCCATTTTACGGATATTTTGTCCGCCGGAATTGGCCCCATGTATACGTGTAGTTTTCGGGACTTTCACCCCTAGACACACAGGCCAACTTAATTCAATGGAGTCCATCCCATTTCTTCTCTCAAACATGGAATATATCCATTTTCTTCTCTCACACATCATACATTTACAATGTATTAAAACATAGTCATATTCAATGACAACGAATAAGAGATTAGTTTCAATTCACCTAATCCTCATGCAATTTGTACACAATCATAGCTATTCTCCACCAATAGCCCACAACAGATATTTTTAAACGGATATACAATCTCCAAGACAAATAAATTATCCAAATTTCCAGAGCATAGGGGTAATACATATTCAACTCTACCATTTATGTAAACATCCATCCAATTTCATATTCCTAATGTCAATTTCATTTTTTTTTTATACCAAATAACTATTTAAAACATTTTAGGACAAACTCCCTTTTCTTCCAAAATCCATCCCAGGTATGAAAATCAACAAATTTATCACAACACAACCTCACATCTACCCCCATAACCATTTTTAATACATACATTTGAAAACTCCTCTTTTGATTTTAAACCAAAACCCTAGGTTGTTCAAAATCATCCCAAATTCTAATATTCTTTGCACATCAACAAATAATTAAGTTAAAACTCATAAAAGAGTGTAGAAAGTCCCTACCTTAAAGCTAGAGAGAAGGAGAGAGCAGAGAAACCTCAAATGAACTGAAATCCACTTTTGTTCGGATGAAAAGAGAGCCCACGGCGTGTTCTACCTTTTTAACAAAGGCACACGAGTGTAGAAACCACTAGATCTAGACGAAAATGTAGAGAGAATGTAGGTTTTAAAGAGAGAGGGTCTCAACTTTAGAGTTTTGAGAGGAAAGATTTGAAAAAGTGATATAAAAAATCACTTTCACGAACTAATATGCGCACAATCCGTTCGAGCGTAACAAGTGACGCTCGACCGTCAGACACAATAAGTTGTTCCGCTTGAGCACAAGAAATAACGCTTGAGTGCAAAATATACACTCCCAGTAGTTTTGCAGACAACAGACCAACGCTCGACCGCAAGAAAGATCTCTCGAGCGTAGAATACACTCTCCCAGTAGTTTTGCAGACCTGCAAAAGTACTGAGAGTTCGCAAAGCCCACTCGAGTGCAAGCAGTGCTGCTCGAGCAAAGGAGTAAAATTTTAGGCAACAAAGATTTGAAAACCAAGCAACTAACCTGTTCCAAACATAACCACTACGATTTAATAACAAAATTTAAGGATGTACTAGGGAAGTACGACATGAACAACAATACGAAACCATGAAACTCGAGTTTAGAATACAAAATGGGTCGGGTCTAAACCAGGATCGCTATAAATAAAACTAGCCAATGGAGATTTTCTTAATTGTTTAAAATTAAGAAAATCAAGAAAATTAGTATAAGATATTGAAGCTATCATAGGGCTCCTCACTAAAAACTTCATTTTTCCTTATATAATATATAGATTTTAAATTTTATTTATAGGTATTTTAGATTAAGTAGAAGCATTTTAAATATTAGATTTTAGAAATAACTAAATATAAGGATATGTTACGTGGCACTTTTAAAAAAAAAAAAAAAAAAAAAAAAAAAAAAAAAAAAAAAAAAAACCCACAAAAGAAAAAAAATGATGATGTAATTAACAGTAGCACGCAAGAAGGAAACAATAAAGAAGCAGTACATAGCAACATGCAAAACAACTAAAACCAATCTCCCTTACCAAACAAATCAAAGTGTTCATGCTAACAAACTCTTGCAATGATAAACCAAACTCCCTTACCAACCAAAATCAAGGAGAACCAAACTCTCCCTTACTAAAAGCAACCACAAACACTGAAAACAGTGACCAAGAAGAAAAAAACAAAAAAAATAATATGGTAGAGCAAGTAAGGAATTTCAAAGAGAAAAATACTATATATATATATATATATATAAATAAATAATATATGATATGAATTTGGGAGAACTTGAGATAGCCGTGGAGCACCACAACGGTCCCGTTTCAATTATCTAAACCATTTATTTTGTAAAATCCCTCCATGTGTATGATTAATGAAAAAAATTAAGTCGATCTAATAATCTTATTTTTTTCATTTTGCTGTGCTTGTCTCTCAAAAAATAAATGGTCTATTTTTAAAAAATATAATGCTGCCTATTTTTTAAAAAAACAAACGCGATAAAATAAAAAGGTTGCGATTATCGGATCAAACTAATTTTTTTTCTATGAAAGTTAAACATTGAGTACCTTACAAAGTAAATGGTACGGATCATTTAAATGGGATCTACGGTGGGTCTCACATACCTTACAAATTCTCTCAAATTTAAATTTGAATTTGAGAAAAGGCTAACTTGAAATTTAGGGTGAATTACATTAATCTCCCCTAAGGATTAAAAAAAAAATACAGTGAGTTCCATAATTTTGATATAATTACATTGACTTTTCTTTAAATGTACTAAAACTAATGCATATGGTATGAAAACACAAACATAAACAATGCAAAGTATACATTTTTTTGTAAAAGAAATAACAATATCATTTTTTTATTTATTCATATAACTGACATTATTGTTCAAAATGAAGTTAGGTGTTACATGAATTAAAATTTTTCCAAATTGTGAGATTTTTTCTATTTTTTCTTTAAATTCTAAAGGTGGTTAGTATAATTTACACTAAAATTTATTGAAGAGGAGAGGGAGGTGATTATGAATCTTGCCAAAAAACAAAAAGATAAATTTTTTTTTAATGGTTCTTTTGGTTGGAGTCCCAACTAGAGTGGGTCTTTTTTGAACTAATGCTAATGCTTGCTAAATGCGTCGAACCATATTACCCATAGGGGAAAAGGGCATTTAGGCGCATTAAAAAGTGATATCCCAAACCCAATTGCTATCTGTTATCAAAGGGATGTGAAGTTGATGTTAGCCACTTACTTCCTCAGTCCATACAAAACTTAAGCCCATTTTGTATGTCCCATCTCACTTCCATACTAACTACCACTCCCACCCTTTTAACTACCTTTTGAATTCTTGTTCTTCTCTTTCAGACCTCAAATGAATCCATGTTCTGATCCTCACAAATGAGTCCCACAAAAGCCTCCTATTATCCACCAAACTCATCACCTTAGCTGGCTCCTTGGACCCAACAATGTACTATGCTTGCAAACAGTTTGATTTAATGCCTGACAGGGATGTATTCCTTTGGAACACCATGAAGGACTCTACAAGTGCAAGAAGGATTGAAAGAGGAGGAATTCTAGGGACCGCATGTTTGATTCCACTAAGAAAATCTGATTACATGAGGTATTTCTAGGCTCTAATAGGCAAGCGTAGAAATAAATCAATTTCTATATTCAATGAATCATACATGAATCTTCCTAAATACACTCACTCTAGAAACACATGAACCCCAAAAATAAATGAACAAAACATAAATATATACTTATAAAAATGTGTAAGTTAACTTAACTAAAATTATATTTATTCCTTCAACACCCCTCTTTAAACTTTATTTTTTGTAACGCCAAGCAAAGTCCAAAACTATGTAAAGTCTTCGTACTTGAGAGGCTTTGTGAATATGTTGACAATTTGATCATGAGATTTCACAGACTTGAGTTGCACTTCCATGGAGTAGTATCGCTATTCCACTACTTAGTTTATATTAGCTTCATTTATATGTGTATCGGTTTCCATAATTGTCATTCATGCAGTCCAAATCAGGGCTTCGGGTCCCCTGTTCCAAAAGCCTGTCCCAATTCACAACTCATCTGCCATATCCCTTACCTTCCGACTTCGTGGTTGTCCTCGCCACCTTGCTGCGCACCTTAATCTGTGTTTTGGCTTCATCACCGTGGTCAGACCAAATCATCGCCACAAGTTGGCTGTTCCGCAACCCCAAAAAGGAGTCATAGTAAGATCCAGTCACTGTAAATGTTTAACAGTGGCTGATCTGCTGCATCTCAAAGTTCAACGGAGCTGATTGCACGATCTGCCTGGTTGGAGTATGCCAACGGCAACCAGATCTGCTCGCCGTCGCAATTGCGCTACGAATTTCATGAGATCTGCTACCAATCATCGACGACGAAGACGATGCGGCGAATCACCCTCTTTCTCATCTTTTAATATTAACAACACCATATATATATATATATAATGTCACATATAAACTACCTATATGTTGTGTAATTAAGGTAAGCCCAATTCGCAAATTTCCCTATTTTACATCTTGCTGGTTTTGGTCATACATCTAGTTTGCAGGTATGAATGATACCAATGGCTACTTCCGAATACTTTTTATTGCTGGTATCTGTAAATAGTTTGTGTCAATTGCCAAGAACATGAAATCCTTGATGATGATAGATGGTCGATCTGTCTAATTCTGTTCCTATTTTCAGGTTTAGATGAGTCATATTTGTTGGGTGGAGAGAGAATCCATACAAAATAGAAGGCTAACGGAGTTATAATTGATCTTTAAGACTAGACACATGTCAGCATGAGAATTAAGGGACAGAGAGTTGGGACAGGCTTTTGGAACAGGAGATCCGAACCCTCAAATCAAAGGCCTAACAAATTTAATTAACGAACCAATACTGATAAGTAAAAGCTGGCCTTATGGTCAGGCAAGACGTGTCTCACACCTTCCCATCTTGTACCTCAGCCCGCAAAGACCTAGTCTTCAGTGAAGTTAGACCATGCCTTATTTTGGAGTAAACATTTTGGTTCCTTGATTTACCCTGAAACCAAGTGGCAATTCTTAATCTTTTTCAAAATCTAAATCAAAACAAACATTTTTCCAAAATCCATTGCACTGGTATATGTTACTATCATTTGTCACACAATTTTTCATGTTGAACATTGCAACATGTTTTTATTACAGAAGAAAACTTAGGGACCATAATCCATTTATTGGTTACAATGGATGAAACTAGATGATATATGCTTGGAATTCTTCATCTTCTTGTTGATCTTAATAAAAAGACCGATAACTTTGCTTGCCGAAAATGCCAGGTCCATATGTTGAAGACATGAGATCCACAAGGAGGGGGAACTGTAGGAGCATGAAAGAAGAAATTGGTAAACATGCTGATGTAACAACTAAACTAAGTAGCCAGCTGTTCTTGTCACCCAACATAAGACACAGTGTCGAGCTAAAGGCTACAATCATGGTTATTATGGAGAGGAACAATGTAACAAAGCCAATAATCAGCCTATGGGGAAGAACATAGAGAAAGTCTTCTTCAGCATATCGCGAAGTGAGGATGGACAAGAATATCAGAAGAGAAGTGGTGGACATGAACAGAGCAATTGCATCCGAAACTACAAAAACAGTAAATGCTTTTTCTGTGGAGAAAATTGGGAGTCCACTTGTGTTATTGCTCCCACCTGGAACAATTATTGCAGCAGTAAATACTATAGCAGTAATGAGTGTCGCTGCAATTGTGCATGAGATCGCTCGGTTTTTCATCCATTTCTCTCCCTCAACTACTAAATCCATGTGTTCGTTGGTGAAAACTGTTGAAGGAGTTTCTCCATCGTCATTTTGCTTTTCTATATAACTAGGGTTCACAGACTTCTCCACTTCCTGTACGATAGTCAAACATTTTGAAATAATGGATCAATGTATTTGTCTTTTTTAAGACTAAATTTTGGAAAATTACTGCTTGATCTTAAATTGAAACCACACATACTTAGGCTAAAGAAATGCAGATGCTCACACACAAACATTAGTAACATACATCATTAATTAGTCCTTGGAACAGAAAGAAGTATTGTATTACCTTAAACCATTGTAACTCACGCTGCATCTGCAGAGCTGCACCAGGAACAACATTGAGTTTCTCTATAGGTGCTTGGTTTCCAACCAAGTGTAGCAGTGTGTTCCCATTATCGTCTTCCAATCGTGTGAAATATTGTTTAAACTCACCCATTTGATACAAGAGGTTGAAAACATTTTCATGGCGCTTTATAACTGCGAGTTGAAATATGTTTCGATCTTCTGAGTCTTTAGCAAGAATTGCTCTAGGAAACAAATTCACAATCTCTTCTATAATCTCGTGAATCCCTAACTTTGCTGCTACAAGGAGTGGACGTTTAGCAAGTGATCTATAAGCTTTCAAGTCTTCTAAAGATCTAACTTGCTCACATAAGTATTTGACTAGTTGGAGTGCTTGATTGTGCTTCAATTTTTGCTCTTGTATATGTTGTATGTGTTTAATGGGAGGCACTGCAATTGCAAAAATCGTAGATATGGTAAGTTATAATTGAATCCATGTGTGTACAACTAAAAAAAAAAAAGGAGTACTAAAGTAGAGATAACTGAATCAATGTATGTTTAATTAACTAGTACTTCTCGTCCATTACCTAATAATTCCAAGACTCTCCAAAGCATGGCCTTCACTTTTTGCCTTGCTGTATGTCATAAAACACAATAAAACTTGTTTTCATATGGAAGGAAAATGTTATGATTATATCTAAGTGCATTGTGTAATCGACAAACTATAACTAACTTTACAAAAGATGTACAAGCAATTTGAGCAATGTGTGTGCAATTCAAAAAAGTAAAAATAAAACAAATAAAATAAAATAAAATTAGTATCATAATATGTGTGGGGTTCAAGTGGTAAAAGTTTCATTCTCCTGGAGTAAGGTCTTGTTAACTTAGCTACCTAATTTTTTTTTTAATAGAAAAAACCATGTACCGTGTGGCGTGAGGACAAACAAAGTATTCAGAGGACAAACAAAGTATTCAGGACACTAAAAGACATGTATATAATAGTATAATAGTATAGATAATAATTAGCAGTTAGTAGATGCAATACTTGTGCAATTTAAATAAGTAAAAATAAAAAAGAAAAAACTATTTAATGTATGTTGTGTAGTAGTCAAGTGGTGAAAGTCTTCTTCATGAAACCTTTGGTTTAAGGTTGAAGTCTTACCTCCTCCCCTTTATATATGGAATGTTTGACATGTGCTAAAATAGCACACATTATTCTATTTGAGTCACAATCATTTTATTTGTGTCACATCACATCTCGATCACACACTTCAAATCCAACTCTTATTTTACGTTTTTTTCGTAAAAAGTTAAAATATACACTTATTGATCATTCTAAATACCCCTTAAGTTTCTTAAATGGAAAAAGGATACTTGGAAAAATGAGAGAAGAAATTCGAGGACACCAATTAACTTGCTCACTTTATATACCCAAAGTCAAGATTTCAAGTCTTGTGTACATTTTTATTGTATTTTATATTTTAAATAGAAAAATAAGGATAAGGAAAAGGCTAGACTTATATAATAGTATAGTTAATAATAATAACAATAATTATATTTTGATTTGATGCAGGATATTAGAGAAATCACAATTATCATCATATTTATTTCATTTAGTTCATCTTATAGAGTTATGTCCATGTGTCGAGCCAATTAGACTTAAAATACTATGAACCTTATCATGAGCACATAAAAAAACAAAAATACCTAAAAATTGAAAATTTTGATGAAATAATTCAATGATTAAAAAATAAATAAATAAAATAAAAACTATGACTTAAAAGACTATGAACCTTATCATGAGCACATAAAATAAAAAATAAAAAATAAAAAGCTATGACTTAACAAATTGCACTCATAAATAAGATATGGATTAACAAAGAGTTTATATGACAAACCAGAAAATGAGAACATTCTTTCCGAAAAACGAGTCCAATTGTACTTGTGCGCAGTCACTTACTTGGATTCAAAGTGTATCTCTTTCACTGTATTCGGCAGATTGCTCTACCTTCACTGGAACATCTTTAAGAAAAAACTAGCCTCAGAAATTTGGGCAAAATACAACAAAATTCATAGTTTAACTACAATTATAGGTTTTTTTTTTTTAAGATTTTAATTAATTTCATTTTTATCAATAATTTGTTAATTATATGGATAAAAAATTGGAGATTGATATACTTAACAATAAAATGTACAATTTTTCTTATTTATTAGTGTGATTTCACACTATTTATATTAGTTTTAGTCATTTTAATTTTTTTATACTTTAAAGGAGTAATTTATCCAAAAATAAATTTGAGTTATAATCCATGATGAAATATTCTTCGTATGCGACTCTATCACAAAATTACGTAAGTTTTCACGAATTTACATAAGTGATCTCATAAAAATACATAAATTGAACATAAATTCGCTTAAGTCTATTTATAAAGGTTATGAAATTACAAATTGAAAAATGTTTGAGACTTGCAAAGAACACCCACAATTGTACCCACAATGATGTGATATTATATATGTCAACTCTTGATTTGCTACACATTAATGATATGGGGTCCAACGCTCTTGTCATATCATTATGGGTAAAAAGTGTTGGCTGTAGCATTGCTCTTACAAATTTATGCAAATTTGTGTTCAACTTATGTACTTTTGCGAGATCACTTATGTAATTTTGTGAAAATTTATATAATTTTATGATAGAGTTGCATACAGTGCACATTGCATACCGAAACATTATTGTTCTTAAAGATAGCTAGTTTAGTGTTTCATAGCATAGGCATAACTTACCCCAACCCACGCATGCACTATTTAATTTATTGGAATGAGTTGAAATATAATGGAATAGTCATTCCTTAGATTCTTGTATAGATGACTATTCTCTTGAAATAATAAATGTTGATTCCAGTTATAATTCGTTTGTCATTATTTTTTGAGTTATTTATGTGGAGACCCCCTAAATTATTAAAAAGTATTTCTTTGATCCCTGAACTATAAAAGTGTACAAATGAACCCCTTAAATTATTTAGAAATATTGTTTTTCCCCCTAAATTATAAAAGCATATAAATAGTTGTGAGACCCCTAACTTTAATAAACCTTATTAGGTCCCTAAATTTTGAGTTATTATAATAAATAAAAAAAAAAACCCTTGCTTTCCCGTTTATTCGCAGAATTAAACCCTAAAAGCGAAAACGCATTAAGGACGAACCCATACAAACCCTAATCGACCCTGGAAGCATAGAAATTATTTCTAACACTCTAATATTAATTATTTAACTCTCAAATTTTAGATTAATCTCTCTAAACCTTAACTTCCGATTTTTACAGTTTTCTTTCGGTTATTCACCTTTAAATTTACAGTAAGATAATACAAACCGAATTATTTTTCAAACACTAATTTATTAACTCTACACTTGAAATAAATATTTTAATTGAGCACAAGCCCTCACATTTTTATTAAATCACATTTTGACCCCAAACAAGTACCATTATATATTTATATACACTTGTACCCTAAAACCTTTTTTAAACATTATATTTTACAATTTTCAACATTTGTATCCAAAAAAATAATAAAGTGAGTCCCTTAAATCACCATTTATGGCCAGCCACAACCTATGTAGATACTATGAATATACTTTGAGACAATTTTGCATGATTTGAAGAAAATATCTTTGACTTGGTACAGACTTATATATATATATATATGTATGTATGTATGCAACTAGGTTGGTTTGATTAGGAGGAAAACCCTAACTAAATCATGTTTAGGAACCTAATTAAGGCCTCTAACCCTCCACTATTCTATTGAATTCAAACTAAACCCAAACTATCCAATCCAATTCCAACCAATGGGCATTTATGACCTTTTGCACCAAATTCATTATAAAAACAACCCCTCTCATAGCATTTTACATGCAAGAACACACACATACACACTATATTAAGCTGAGAGAGAAGAGAGGAAAGAGGGTGAGCTTGGTAGAAGAGAGGAGAGGAAGAAAAAGTCTGCTAGCAATTCAATCAAGCCTTAAGTGACCCACAGAACAACTCTCTCTTATTTTTCCTTTCAAATACATGCTCTTAGAAGTTTTAAACATTCATTTCAAATGTGTTTTGATAGTACTTTTGTGTTAAAAATGAAAGGAGTTGAGTCTTGATTCTACCTTTATTGTATTTCTCGTAATCGGTATAAGACGACCTTTTTCTATATCAACCTCTCAAAATTTCCAAAGGCACGCCTTCACCTTAAAATTTCTAAGTTTAATACATATTATTTAGCATGTTTTCATTACAAGAGAAGTGAAAACTTTTCCCTAGTTGACCTTTTTTCTCACCAACTTTCTTATTGCAAGAACTGTGCCAAAAAATCTATTTTACAGCCAACTTTCAAAAATTCTATAAAAATGTAGAAATATATTCTGGACCTCACTTTTATGTCCAACTCTTCCTTAAGGAGTTAGCTTTGAAGGAAAATTGATTTCATTGAAAAAGAGTGAGCGATTATTGAGAAAATCCGATTTGCGTAACTGTCGATGAATTTGGACAGAGCTGGAGTATTTTTGAAATATCTAAAAATTGGGAAAAGCTATTCTATTTATGAAAAATGTTTTGAAAACTAGATAAAATTCTCTATTTTGGAAATTCTTTAAGTGGTTTTGAATATGGAAATTCTGTTTCGCCTTGGTAATATAGCAGATAAGAGTTATACATTTTATCAAAGTAAGATCCGAGTTATTTTTGGAGATCCATGGAGAAATATCGAGATTAGAGTGTTAGCGACGGAGGAGATTGATTTGAGGTAATTCGGGTGGTATATAATATGCTTCCTTTAAATCTCTTTGCAAACAGTGCTATTTTAATCACCTTCAATTTGTACTCCTCTTGATGATTTTTATAATTTAATAAATTTTATGGAATTATTCGTTATTGATTCGTTTGATTACTCTAATCATTTTATGAACTTCGCGTAGTTATTCTGTGCTGGAAATGTTGATTTGTCTGGCTAAATGACGTGGAAGTGCTCCGTACACGGATCGAGTAGACTTTGACAATATGCTCTGTACCAATAGCCCGGATAAGCGGTGGGGTGAGGCGGTCACTGGTCATGTACTGAGTAGGATCGGGTATTTGGTCCTGGATAAATTATCATATGTCAAGTTAACTTATTTGTGCAATTTGATAAATTGCTTGGTATCTCGAATTGAATCGTTTGTGTAATTATTAGATCCTTGTGAAATTATTCATTCTCCGACCTTTGTTACTCCTATCGTATTGTATACGTCCCGAATTAATTTATTTTTCTGGTGTAGAGCAAATTTAGTGGCATTTGGGGTTGAAGAATTTAAAGGATTATTGCGTTAGAGATTATATATTGTTTTTAGATATTTGTATAAGTTATATTTTGGAGACTTTTTTGTAATTATTTTGGAGACAATTTTGTATTTTTAAGGTTATTAATTAGTTAGAATTTTAAATTTGAGATTGAGTTGATTTATTAACTGCTCGGAAGTTGAGGTGTTACAATAACCCTAAACTATTGACATGTTTCACTTTGACTGCTTCTATTAAGCAGTCCAATTGGTACACTTTTGTAGTTTAGAGAGCTAAAGTGATATTTCTCAATAGTTTAAGGGGTTCATTTGTATACTTTTCTAATTTATGGGAACTTACGTGTAGGTCCTAATAGGTAAACTTATTGTCTAATAGGTCCTATGATAATTAATGGTGTTTTTCATCAAACAATATTAAAAAACATCACTAATTATTAATTTTTAGCGATAGTTTGAAAATTATCACCAAGAATGTCACTAATTATAAGTTTTAGCGACGGTTTAAAAAAATTGTCACAAAAAACATCACGAATTTTTAACTTTCAGTAGTAGTTTGAAAAATTCGTCACAAAAAAATATTACTAATTGTAAGTTTTAGTGATAATTTATAAAAAATGTGACAAAAAAAAGTTACAAATTGTCAATTTTTAACGAAATATGAACAAAATCGTCATAAAAAATTATTCTTAATGACGATTTTGCTATGACTTATTTTTAATAGGACTTTATGGGAATTAAGTCTAACTATTAGAATCTATTAATAGTTTAGAGGGTCAAAACTGATATTTCTTAATAGTTTAGGGGGGTCTTCGTATAAATAATCCTTATTTTTTTAGTCAACCATATATAAGAACAAATATTTTGATAAAATGATATTTCCATTCTGTTTCATTCCAATGAATTAAATATTTTTGATGGCCAATTATTTTTTGTCATCCACTAGTGAGAGGTCTAAAATAAATAAATAAATAAACTGTGAAAGGCTAAAAGATGGAGGAAAAAAAAAATAGCATTTCCTAAATAAGTAGAACTTCATTGACAACATATTTTTTGGTCTTAAACTTATGGCTAACTGATTTAATTAAAGCCAATTTTATAGTATATATTATTTTATAATATTTCTGTAAAATAAAAAAAAACAAATAAGATAAGGCATGGAATAGCAGAATGGAGGGTTAGGATTGAATTTGTGAACTATGAAATTTATGTGGAAAATAAATTTAATTCATAAAATAATAATTTTGAATAATTAAGTAGTATTAGTGGGGTTACTAAACACTTACAATAATATATTATGCTTTGCCAATGATTGAAATGACTTCCACTTCTGAATGCAGACACCTTTTTAGCCATTTCTCCCAGAGCACACCGACTCTGAAATCTTGATTTAGCTACGTGGGGATATTGCCTAACCAAATCCAAAGCTATATCTGTATAATTAAAAAAAAAAAAAAGTTATATAAAAAAGCGGTATATTTAATATCTTTAGATTTGAAAAATGTTATATAATTTATATTTTTAATGAGATTTTCTTTGAATGATTATTCAATAATCTCATATTGCCAACTAAACAAGTTGATGTATTGCTTTTGAATCAATAATTAATCTCTTGACTTTTAGGCCGGATTTGGAAATTGCTTTTAGTATTTTTCCCTTTAGTTAAGTGTTTTGTAACTGCTAAATATATATATATATATATATATATATTGTCAAACTTGCATTTTGATAAGAAGTTGCCATATTACTCTTATGCACTAATTTTTTTCGTCAATCAAACTAGTGAGTGAATATTTTGATCGAATAGTTATTGTGTTCTATTTCATTTCAGTGAACTAAACAACACTTAACAGTATTGTGGTGATGTTGTAGGAAGATGGTGAAGGCATTGAGTGTAAAATTAATTTTTCTACAAATTTGTTAACAAATGTGTTTCTATTTATTTTATTTTTTATATGAAGAAGTAATTCCAACCAAGTTTATTTACTTAAAAAGCTACTTTTATTCAGGTCTTTTCAAAAAGAGAGCAATATATAGTTTTTAATAACCATACCTGGATATATATTGGTATGGATAATACAATAAAAAATATTACTATGTATGACATAGTATCAGCTAATCATAGTTCTGAAAATTGAGAGGAACAAGTGTACTAGCCGATACGTATCGGAAAATCAAGACCCATTACGGATACCCACCGGTATACCAGTGTGAATGAAAATTGTTGGCATTGCAGCTGGTTCCCATTACGCAACGGGGTGTAACTATTACACAAGTCACGACAGACCGATACTCACCGTGACGGGAAAGAAAGTGCTGAAAATTGGTTAAGTAATTTCACGGCTGCAACACTTGATTTCCGATACGTACCGGCCAATACTACCGATACTAATACTCTACAATAGATACCGTTATGTTAACCAATACAGCGATTTAGCACCATGTCAGCTAATAGAGAAAGGTCAAAAATACCAATAGGTATCAATGAATATGATATGATATACCAAAGGTGGTGGCAAAACTCACCATAGAATCCAGAAGCTATGACAAGAACAAGAAGCTCAACACCAGAATCATCGTCAAAGGGAGCCATGTGCTCCAAATCATTCTCAATTGGTTTTTTGGTCTTACGATCAGGTTTAGTGACCATTAATAAATATGAAAGGGTGTCCTTATGAGCACTTCGAGCAGCCCTGTGGAGAGGTAACCAATCATTTTTGTTGCGAATGTATAACAAATCCGAGTGTTTGGCTACTAAAATTTTAGCAGCATCTGTGTTGCCGAACTGGGCTGCAATGTTCAGGGCAGTGTAACCTGCAATGTCGTTTTGTTCCAGCGCTTCCACTGGCATCAAATCCACCAAATTCTTCACGAACTCGATTGACTTACCTGTTGTTGTTGTAATTAGGCTTATTAAAATCGGGGATCTTAGATGGGATTGTTGGGAAGAACTTACGGATCGGATTGTAAAATCGAATCCAATCCAGAATTATAAGATTGTACTTTCAATACAAAATAAAATGAAAAATTATGACCTTTCTTGTACCAACCTAATTGGAATGAGTAGATTTCATTATGATGCTTATATGCTTATAGCACTTCATTTGTCTATCTTTATTGATATAAAATGTAAAGGGTTTATTCTTGATGAGTAAATTCTAATGTAATCCGAATCGTTTAACCCAACTAGATTAGTGTAATCTGAATCGTTTGTCCAATTTTAAGATCCTGCAATCCGGATTGGAATTCCGTCAACCATGTTGTAATATAGTTTTTGAGTTTTGAATTTCAAATACATTTTTTTATTTAGTTATTGTTCTTTTAATATTTTCATCAATTTTTGTTACCTTTTAGATGTATTTAACTTAAATGTACCTAAAAAGTAAAATTTTTGTAATTTTTTTTTTTTTGAAAAATTCATTAAATTTTTGTTTTTGTATTTATTATTTTTTTAACAATTATCTACAAATAATTACTTTTTAGGTGCATCTAAGTTTTGTATATCTAAAAAAAAAATTAAAAATTAACTAAAAGATTAAATGATTCACTAAAAACAACAAAATGCGAAAAGCAAAAAAAAATATTTTTCAAAACTTAAAACCAAACAAAATATATATTTCAAAATACAAAATCAATTTAACATGTTTTAATTGCCCATAATAAAGATGAGAACATTAAATTTAAGGGTAAACTACCAATATATCATAATAGTTAGACTTAATTTTCATCAAGTCCTATTGAAAATAACTCTTAATAAAATTGTCGCTAAAAATAATTTTTTTGTGACAATTTTTTACATACGTCGTTAAAAATTGACAATTAATGACTTTTTTTATCATGATTTTTATAAATTGTCGCTAAAACTTACAATTAGTGACATCTTTTTATGACAAATTTTTTTTATAGAACCTATTAGACAATAAATCTACTTATGAAGATCTACACGTAAGTACCCCTAAATTTAACAGATAATATTAGGAGCATAAAAATGAAAAAAATGAAAAGATGTGTAGATAAACTAAAAAATATTGGAAAAAAGAAATATATATATATATATATATATGCACAAAATAACAAACATTGAAAAAATGCATATAGAGTTAAAAAATAATAGTACACTAATCTTGTAATGATTTTCTCAGATATATATTGGCTTGAATATGCCTGAATAGTGGGAAGGGAGATGAAGGGAGGTGCTATGTAATTTTTTTTGAAAATGTGAGGCCTGAATAGTGGGAAGGGATATGAAAGGAGGTGCCACGTAATTTTTTTTGAGTAAGACCTCCACAAATCTAGACTACTTATGATGTGGGCGTCACACATACATAGAGGGCCAGGATCACTTTGGAGGTATGGGGGTTATCCCCAAAAGGGGTCCCAAACATTTTCCCTCTTTTTTTTCCCTTCAATTATGAAATTTTAGGATTCAAATTTTGAAGTCTTTTGACCTAACAACTACATTCGGTTATATATATAGTATATATATAGATAGATAGATAGATGAAGTAGTGTTTTTCCCTTTTTTCTGTGGTACATTTCAAAGACTTACTTTTTTCAGCATGCTTTTTTATTTATATATAGAGTTCTACACAAACTCAATTTCAATTATACTAACCAATTTTATATGAACTCTATTTGAAATATATTTTTTTCATATATTTTCCATCGTGTATTTAGTTTTGTCATTATATTTTTTTTATATAGTTGATATTTTAATTTACTTATCATGATATTTGGAAAACAATATTTATCTGGATATACAAAAATAAATGAGACAAAATGTGCTTGATTATGTGCGTCGCATGGATCAAATTAATTTTCTTTTATATTTTATATTTTTTATCTATCTTATAAGTGTCTTAATATTAATTTATATTTAATTTTTAATTCAACATGAAATTATATATTAAAATAATTATATTTAATTTAAATTTAATACACCTATATACAATATGTATGAACAATTCGAAAAGAATGTTAAAGAAAAATTCAATACTGTATATAATTAATTTGTGTATTTTCTTCTTAATCCAATCACAACATTTTTATATTTAATCTTTTAAATAATTTTTGTGAAGTTCTATTTCTACATATTTGTATTTTTCAAATCAAAATAAAATTAAAATTAAATAATTAGAATCACTTTTAATTTTATATTACTAATTTTCTTTCTAATTTAACTATTATTTGTATGAGTGTTTATTTTACTATATTATAATTTAATATATATCATATAAATCATTATGTGATAATTCAATTACAACATATTTATGTTTTATTTTTTAAATAAATTTTATATGGTTTCTATTTCTACATATTCTTATTTTTCAAATTACTATTAAAGAAAATTAAATAGTTATAATCAATATTAACCTTGAGGTAATAATCCTGAGATTATGGGTTTAAGTCTCGGGGCAACTATTTTGTGCACTACATTAAAAGTTTGATGTGTACTCAATCTTTTCCTTCTCAAACACACATTAATGTATAATAATTGGACATTGTTTTTTTTTTAATTAATTCTCCTTTCAATTTAATTATTATTTTTAATATCAAAATAAATATTTATTTTATCTATCTTATAATTTAATATATATTATATAAAATCATTATATGGTTATTACACTTTTATAACTTAATAGAATTAAAATTATCAAAATAAATAAATTATTTAACTAAATTTATTATATTTAAATATGCAAGTAACACTTTTATATAAGGATAGAGTTGAGATTGTTAAAATAAATATTTTAAATTAAAATTAATATTTAAAGAAAAATTAATCCGTGCAATGCACGAATCATCATCTAGTTATTTTTTTATGATAAATCTTGCATGCAATTTTACGACACCTGTTGCAACGGCTACGTGGAGTGCAATCTCCTCGTCTGTGGTGATCTTGGCTGTGAGTGCATCTCCATCTCCATCAATGATCCGTTTGGCTTCTTCCCAGTCTCCTGTCAGAGCAGCCTTCTGTAGTGGTTGGTACTTCCAATACTGTTTCTCCAGAGCGTGTAGATAAACTGATCGTTCGTGACGCTAAAAGGTCGAGTTTGACAAGTTAGAAAGAAGTTAAAAAATTAAAAAATTAAAAAAATTATTTAAAAAATTAAAAAGTTATTATTATTTATCAAAAGTTAAAAATTACGGCTGTATAACTCTTAATTCTAATTTTTTTTACACACTAATTTTTACAATTTTTTAATACATATTTTTTCATAAAAAGTCAAAAAATTAACCCAAACATCCATATTTTTTTTCCACAATTTTTTAGTTCAAAAAGACAAAAATTACACTTATTTAAGACAGTCCAAACAACCCCTAAATTCGTTTCGATAAGAGTATGCTTAAATTTAACTTGTTAAATTTATTTTTTATTTAATTTTTTTTTTTTTGTGTTTGAACTCAAATTTAAACTCGTTGAATTTTTAATAAATAACTCTAAATATATTAAAATTCAGCTCGTAAGCTCAATTTATTTAGCATTTATTATTTATATATTAAATAATATAAAAATATATATGAAAAATAAAATAAATATGTTATTTATATATTTAAAAATATAAATGTAAAATAGTTGTTAACTATAGATAGGACATTTATATAATAATGATGGTAGATATTATTATTTTGATAAAATATTAATTTTTTTAGTATATTTATATACATTGTATAATCAAAATTTTAATTGTAATTTTAGTATCATACGCAAGTGTAAATTTATAAATTTGTTGGCTCGTTAAGGCTCATGAATAGACTCGAACTCAAACTCGAATCAAGCCTAAATCAACTCGGTTCGAACTCAATTTTTCAAATTTTTGTTGAGTTCAAGCTCAAATTCAAACTTGTAAAAATCTTAACAAACAAATTTAAGCATATTAAAACTCTACTCAACTAGGTCAACTTATTCTCCAGTAACTCTTTTTCAATTATGATAGAGACCACTAATTTGGTGGCTCTAATCCATTACTAATTAGGTGAAAAAAAAAAAAAAATCCAAAGAGTAGAAATTTCTCTTTGGGGGGTGAAATTATTTTTCAAAATTTTAATAAAAAATATTGAGTTCTATAGCTTTAATCAATAAAAATCAAGGCCACCATATAAATTTACCTCAAGGCCATCACATAATTTTTTCATCACTTGTATATATTATTTATTGTTCTTAGGTTAGATAAGATACTATCTGAACTTATTTTTTATTGATTAAAATTATGAGATTTATCACTTTTATGTTATTTTTTGAGAAATAACTTATTTTAAATGGAATGAAATAATATTTTAAGGCCATTAAATAATTTCTCCTATTACTAAATAAATAGGAATTGCAATATTTTATTATTATTATTTTTTTTTTGGGGAACCCATGCATGCGTTAGTTGGCATTAAGATATGAAAGGCCGATATGGGTGAAAAACTTGCAATGGCATGCATCTATTAG